ATGCTTGATTGATAATTTAGTAATCTACTACCATGCTTATGAAAGTTATGAATCTTTCTGCCTTATGTACTGTCATATTTTTAGAAAAATATATTGTAAAGACTTTATTCGAAGGGTTGTACTTATTTCCAAGACTTTATTCTGTAGTTTCTTGCCTCTTGTCTAGAAAGCCTAATTCTTTGCAAATTTTGTTTTATAATCTTCATTTAGCTTATATAGATATTCTTTTCTCCTTGTCGTAGGGAATTCTTTCAACCGAAAGGGGCGAGCAAGCATTATCATCTATCGGTTCATGTGAGAAATCTTTGATTGAGGTAAGTTTCTTCTCCGCATTAGCTTATTGGTTTTCTGCTACTTTTTATGAGTTGATATTTTCTCAGATTATTAACCCCATGGGCAGGATAAAATATTGCACCCGTAGAACTTTTTGAGTTCATAAGATCTGGTTCTTTCAGAAATTTACTTGTGCACATTTGATTTCGAGATTCATTTTATGGTATTTATGGATATATAAATGGTCAGTGAATCTGACTGGATTTCCCCATTCTTGTTACGGTATCCTAAGTTAAAAATGCTCTGCTTGCTCAGATATGTACTTTTGTTTTTTGTAGTCACATGCCATTGTTGGATGACATGCTTAAGACACAAGTAAAGCTCAATCGTAACTGTCTCAACATAGTCAGTGCTTTGCATGTTTYGCTGAACTGTTCTCCTGTTTAAGTTGAGTATTTGGTCCTTTTCCATGATCTTGTCTTGCCTAATCCTCAGAGTGTGTACTATAGGCCGTTTCCATGTTTTACCATTAGYGCTAATAGATTGATTTTTTTGGACAGTAACGCCCTTGTATATACTTGAATATGTGTACGAGTCCTCGTGTCTGTCTGGAGGGAATGTAGGAGAGAAAGAATGCATATATTACAATGGCAGGCAGTTGTCCATACTCAATACTACTAGACCATCACTGTCAGAGAAACGCATGGGGGTGTTCTATATAGTATCACGGAGAGGGAATGTGACCCTAAGGTATTTACGCATTTTTTTCTTTCACATATCAGTAATATCTCAAGCTTTTTCAATTACCTTACATGAAACATATTGTTAGAGTGCTTACATGTGCAGGTGTTGGAAACTATATTGTATCATCTATTCCAGCTTTCATTCTCCACTTCTATGCTGCTGAAGGTTAATGATTTCGTATGGAATTTAATTGTTGATTTTGCTGTGAATATTTAGAGGATTTTATGTCAACATCATCCCCAACTTTTCTTGCGTTTATGGGTTCTCATTTTACTTAAGGTTCTTTTCTTGGATGGCATGCTTAAGACAGGTAAAGAGCAAGCGTAACTGTCTCAACAAAGTGTGAATTATCTTTCAAAGAAGGAGAAAGTTGTCTTGCTCACTCCATTTTGCTTGGTTTCTGCAGCACTGTCCAAAGCTTGTCACTTTTGCCAAAGCTTGCCATCCCAATTGGGCAGGTGAAAGAGTGTATCTTCATTTATCCAATACCCTGAACGAACTGCAGATGTGTTATGTTGCATGAAGATCATACTAACCTTGATTGGGTAGCTAAGGTAAGGGTGCTTCCATATATCTTTATTGACATAAAGGGATGTTTCGAAAAACTGCAATTTCAGTTTACGGAGATCCTTAAAGATTTTGTTAATGAAATTTCAAATAAGTACAACATCCCAGATGAGTGTACAAGGTGTCCAAATAGAGAATCAGCTACTACGAGATTTCTACTCGTAGGTAGTGATTTTTCCATCATATACTTTGATGCTATTATACACTGCATCAAGCTTTAATGTTAATCATGCACCTTGCAGTTAATCCATCTTTGAAGTTACTTGTCCTTGCAGTTGTCAGGTATTAAGCGATGGATGCCCGAGCTAATTTTTGCAAAGACGCTTTGGTTGTTGTTTAAAGAGAACCAAGTTTTCTGGTGAGAATATAGCAATTTTTTTTTCTTCATCTTATTAATATGCCCATGCGCATGTATGTTCTGCATGTTAGTTATTTTCTTACAGAAATGTATCTTTGTGCTTATGAAACTGGAATACGTTAGGTCTTAATCTTATTAGTATGCGCATGCGCATGTGTGTTCTGCATGTTAGTTATTCTCTCAGAAATGTATCTTAGTGCATACGCGTTAATGGTGCATTTTCAATTATTAGCAAAACTTCATCTTATTTCGTGCTACTAATCTGTTTTATGTGTGTTCTGCATGTTAGTTATTTTCTCACAGAAATGTATCTTAGTGCTTACATTTTGATGGTGCATTTTCTTTTATTAGCAAGACTTCATCTTGTTCCGTGCTTATATAACTAATCTATTCTAATGTCTCTGGTAGTCTATTTTCTTTACACATGTACATGATATTTTGAGAAACACACCTAGCTATATCAGTCAAAGTATGGGACCATACTCCGTCATCTTTTGGAAATCAGGGAGTATTGTTTCCAAATGAGGAAGCGTACATATTCCAGTGAGTTTTCTACTAGATATTATAAACTTCTAGTCTTGTCATGGATATGTAGTGTACGGTGGTATGCTGGTGTTGGATATCTTTTAAATATAATGTTTCTGCAAGGTCCGGTGCTGTTATACATGGAAAGGGCGGAAGCAGGGTTTTGCGCGAAAAACAGTGGCCAACATAGCCATAAGGAGGAGGATTTTCGTTATATCCTTATGCTTCAGTCACTTCTAGAGAATCCCCTGGAAGAATTCCTGATGACCGTCGAGAAAAAATTGTGCATGGCCTTATTCATATCTTCTCTGAGACCCTGTCAATTGCAAGATCAATAGTTAGACACTTTATTCTCATTTTCTCTGAGATCCTAGTTTCTGAAAATTTAATATCTGAATTATAACGTATTGAGATCTCTAATTGCCGCCTTGTTCTGTTTTTAATTTCAGGTGTGTATTGTTAGTTTTGTTTTTCATGAGCCTCTGTGTCACCAGAACCTCTAATTCCCGCTTTTTCTCGTGACACCGTTTCACGTGGATTTCAAACAGTTCTGGATGGTTTTCTGGAAATGTAGCATTCTTACTCACTCGAGCTTGACTGATTGTTTTAGTGTTTTCCTCTTATAAGGTATTAATTGGTTTATGCAGCACTGATTATCCAATTGCAGGATAAATGTTATTTGCCCAGACAGAATAAAGGTAAATTCATTTACTAAAGCTTTTATTTTTCACGAGATATCAATGTTCTTGTCAACTTGATACTTAATTCGAAATATTTTTGTTGTTTGGTAGTTCATCACAGAAATACACTATAGAACGTCAGCGCATGTCATCATTTGACTGCGCTTCAAGAGTTTACCATTTTTCTTGGCCAAAGAGCTTCAGCTCCAAGCAAGCTCCTTAAAGTGAGGAACTCTCTATTTATCTATTTGATTACTTGATTAGTATTACTCTAATTCTTTATCATGAAAGAGACGGCCTTCAGACCTTATTGAATTTGAGGTAGTAATGATATTGACCACGTGAGTTCATTTCTCGTGTAAATCCGGTTGTAAATGTTGGAAGGTATAGTTTTTTCATATTAGGCTTTGCTATTTTCATAAACTTGTTTGTTAAAAGTAAGTCATTGTTAATCATAATATCTTGGTATATATTTTCTGAGTCTGCTTTTTCAAGGGATGTTGACTTTAACTAGTAGTATAATACTCTGTAAAGATTATTGATGTAACGTCCAAACCCTTCGGGTCAGTTTTCTAAGTTTCTTACCTATCCAAATTTGACAATGCTCTTTATTCTTTTTCCAAATGTCTAATTGATTAGTCATAATTTTTTTATTCTTACCTGGAGAGATTTGATAGTACCTCTAAATACCGTAGTGTATGATGTATCTAATCTGGCGTGATTTTTCTCCATTTTTCCGAAGCCTCTTACTTTTGTTCTACATTTTGTCTTCTGCAAGGTCTAGTTTTTAAATGCTGTGTGGAGGTTCTAACAAGGGTCTGCTCGAATTCTAGCAAGGTGGAGGTTCCTTAACTTTTTTCTCGCCTTTTTCTCAACTCATTTCTCCGTGGACATTTTCTTTTTGTTTTCTTTGAAATTTCAGTTCTCTAGTTGCCGGGTTCCTGATGGTGTTAAGGGATTTATTGCTTCATGACATGGAAATCTTATGGGTTGATTCCAGGGACACTTTCTTAAACTTTTATTTTTACAGAGACTTTATTTTCTAGGGACACTTTATGCTGTTTTGGGGACATAAATAGACAAAAATACCCTCAACTTGACTCTTGTGTTGGTTTAATAAAAAAACAACAAAACTGATATGCACCATTGGTTGATTTTCAATCTTGTGGTTGAGATTTTATCCCTCTCTCCTTCTCATCTTCTGGACTTCTTCATCAACCATAATCAACTCAAATCTCTCTTTCCATGGAAGCAGCAGTGCCACGGCTCTTCTACTGTGGACTGGAGCCAATTCGCTTCTCCGTGTCCTCACGCCGTTCCTTCGTCTCTGGGATTCTTCACCGGAAACGCTCTCATCGGATTTGATTTCTTAATTCTCTGAATCGAATCGTTGAGTTGTTCGATTTGTAGAACTGATTAAACAATTTTGTAGAGTTTCAGATGAGTTTAGGAGATAGGGAGGAGAATACAGAGAAGATAAAGAAGAAGGTTTTGAGAGTCGGTTGTCGGGTTTCGGTAAAGAAGAAGAAGGAATTGCAATGGTGGGTTATGCGTGGACTAGTTTTTGTGGAGATAAAATTTTGGACACGTTTTGTGTAGTTATTTTATCCATACGAAAACAATGGATGAACTTCAAAATTATAGGTTTGTCAAAGAAGACTTGGAAGTTGTAATCAAATTAATTGACGATAGATGAACATGTGGTTTGGTGTTCTTTGATATATGAGTTCTTACATTTTAGCTTCTGATCATGAATCATTTTGTGACCACTAAGCATTGAGCAAAAGGTTATATACAAATTGACATTGAGTGCGATTGTCTTGTGGACACGATAGGGTGGTCATATTATCGTGGATACGATCAAGAGAATAACTAAGAGTGATATGTGTATGTGAATAGAGCAATAGACATTACATTGAAACATTTATACCATTTTTGCATTGTTCATGTGGATACACAATTTGGAATCAACTAGAAGTTACTTTGTACCTTGATCAAAGCACTTTTCATTGATGACGAATATATGAGATTCATGTGAAACATTTTTCATAACATTACCATTACCACCACCGTTCATCCCTTGATCCGAACCACTGATCTTAGGTTACAAATCCCTCCGCATTAGCCATAGCAACAAGTTCCTCTGCATCTTTCTATTTCAAATAGAATGCGGCATCAGCCGCAGCTCTCATCGCCTCCACTTGCTTTTGTTTCTCGTAAAAAATAGTTTATGCTTCTTTTTGCCTCTTTTTGATTCTTCCTCACAAATTCTCACAAATCACTCTCCAATTAATATATAAGTGATAGTCACTCTATTTTTCTTCCTAATTTTATTTTTATAATTTTTTAAAACTATTATAATTCTTTTTCTCTTACATATTTGGGATTATTAGAATTTTTTCATTATTTGGTTAGTTGCGACAA